ATGGGCTCAGAAAGTCAGCAATGACGAAGCTCTGCGACTAGTTAAACAGAAGCGTGAACTTTTGCAGACCATCAAACAGAGAAAAGTTTTATATCTGGGTTATGTACTTAGGTATGACAGATTCGAGCTTCTGCAACTGATAATAACGGGAAAAGTCGCTGGTAAAAGGAAAGTTGGTCGTAGGGTATATGTTGAGCTGACTGCCAACCTTTGCTAGTTGGAGAGGCACCTTAAGAAGAAGACTAGATCATTCACCATGTTCATATCAAAATAAACATTCAACAAAACAACCGAGCGAACGGCGTTGTGCTGGCTATCGAATAGCGTTCCCTCCCCTCCCGTGCGTCCGTCCGCGCATCTTTAGTCGCAACTTGACAGGGAGCGATCGAATAGTATATTGTATAGTTGTATTTGTTACATAATTACGTCACCACACAGCAGTAACACAATGTACAAAGAACACATACACAAATATTTAAGTTGTTTATTTTAAGTTATTTTTTTCGCGACACACACGTCCGTCACTCATCTCGGCTCAGGGCGCATTGAAAACCGTAGCCAGTGATTACGGCTGTGGCTTATGCCGAATGAAGTCCTTTTGCGTACGCCAGAAATGATAGTACAAAATTTGTAGACGTTGTTTTTTGCTTTTTGTCAGATTTGCCTTATTTTTATTTATTGTATTTTTATTTTGTTTATTCATTCTTTTTATTATGCTTTGTTTGTCTGTGTTATCAATTTTTGTTTCCTTTGTATCTATGTGTCGTGGCGTTGCAATAAATCGCACCACTCATGGAAGAATGGCGTAAGTGGAGTTACGTCAAAAACTTTTATTGCTGCATTAGATACAGAAAAATATAACCCATATCTTCTTAAATTCTTGTAACTCTATCGACTAATATTGTAGATAAAGTTACATAAATTGGAGAGGATGTGGGTTATATGTTTCTGTATTTTTCTGTGTTTTGACATAACTCCACTTTTACCTTTCTTCCATGAGAGGTGGGAAATGTCCATTCTATTCTATTCCTTCGAATGACAGGATTAATAATTACTATTGTTATAGATTATCCTCTAAGTAAATTCTGTTGAAAATTCATCGGTCAAATTTTGAGTAAATAACGTGTGTTCCTGATCTAGACATTGGCATAACCATCGAGGATATCTAATGTTATAAGCTATAACATTATAAAGAAGAAGAAGAAGAAGTAATTACTAAAGAGTCGAATATTAAAATCATTCGCAATTGTGCATCTCTAGACTAAAGCGATGATGATGTTGAATAATGATCTGAACTTAGGCAAAGATTGGTTTGTAGATACGAAAAATCTAGGAAACTCGCCGTTGTTATTTAGTCGAAGTTAAAGTCCGTACTATAGATCTCAGCTCAAGCATAATATGTCTTTGTGCTTTCAGTCTGCAGCTTTTGCTTCGGCCATTTGTAATAATAAGGGTCTGGTTGTGGACCACTTCGGCTCATTCCGTCTCGAGTGAAGAGGTGATTGCGTCCATAAGTTGGTGCGACATGTTTACCGAAATAACTATCTCTTAATCTCCATCCATATTCCCAGGAAGAACATTGGTGGTAATAATATTTCTCATCTGGTTTCATACGACTTCTCGCTTTCAAGTAATGTTCGCGACCGTAACTTAGAGAATCTTTGTAAATCAACTCGGCATGTTGGGGATCAACTGGCCGCATCATTCTGATATCGTTTTTGTCAGAATCCGATCGAAACTCATTTTTTGCTGCGTCGATACCGTTCTCTGGTTGCGGTTTCATCTCTAAAATACCAAATACCCGATTGACATCGAGTTCTCGTTTTACATGCCTATGATGTTTGGGAGATACGAGATCTTCTGCTATGGGAAAAGCATTATTTACAGTGTCATCTTTCACATAGTGAGGTTTAAAATCTTTTGTGTCTTTATAGTGTTCGCCAGCGTTCAACTCGTTATCTTTATTCAGATTTTTCCATCTCCGCCGCTGTCTTTCAATTTTCTCGTACGATTCGGCGAGGAATTTAAAAGCTTCAGAGTTCGTTACCGGCATTTCGTATTAATGTAATAAATTAATAAATGTATTATTATAAACAAACTCGTGTTATTAAGTGATTATATCAAAATTCTCTTTAAATAACGAAAAAGTCAAAACTCAAAACAAACTCGCATAACGTGATGGTTACATTCTTTTTGCTCATACACATGTCATGAAGATTGTACATTTTTTGTTCGGCTTTTCCCGATAATGTTTCAGCCACTGACAAGATTATTGTTAGAAATATAAACTTGACTAACAGTCAGTTACAGATGGATTTCTCATTGGAATAATATTTTAACAGAGGCACGTATTCAACAAACCAGTCAAAGAAGGCGGTAGAACATTAGAGGATGGACCAACAATAAAGAGGTCTACGGGTTCCTTTGACAATTTTTTTTTCATCCTCTAAGGTAGAACCTTTCCATCCTTTTTTTTGTACTGTTTTTTCCATTGGAAAAGCCAAGACTGAGAGTAAGTTATTTCTTGGATTCCATTACAAAATGTCTTCGATATTGCTTCTTACGAAATGATATAAAATTAGATTTTATGGATGAAACTAATCAATACCATAGTTTTACCTTTTTTTTATCTCTATTGACTATAGTACATTGCATTTTAAGACACTTAATCATGCCTTCAACGGTTATAAATAAAAAAAAGCGCACAACCAGATTGCTGATGTATTCGCGGACAATTTGTCTCAACTGCAAAAGCACGCAATGTAAATTTAAATTATTTTTTATTGTGTTATTATATTTAAGATGTCATTATGGTATGAAACTTAATTTATTTTGCTGGACGTTTGAATTAACCTGTAGGTCCACAAGAGTCATATAATAAATAAATAGATCTTTGTACCGACTTTCGGCATTCGTCGCCACCAGTAACATCTAGTGGGAGAGTTTTGAAAAACCTTCTCACTACAACCGATACCTTTACAGGTATCACTACTGACGCAGATGTCGCTTTTCGATCAAATGTATTTATTGAGATTTTTTGTGAAATAAGTTAGTTTTGCTAGTTTTGTTATAATGAATACATAAATAGAACACAGAAAAATTTCAATGCCTCACTTTCTCAAACTTGTATCTTATAAAAGAGCGTGTGTGAATATGAAGGAAATATGATGCGAAATCAGCCTGCAAAATTTGTTTAAACAATACATTGTTTTATTTATTAATACAAAAATCGAACTCTCAGAAAAAATTCCTTCGATCCGGCCAGATTCGAACCGACGTCTTCTAGCACACTGTGCCAGATGCTACAACATCTAAGCAACGAAACGAAACAACGAACCTCACGAATTTTTCTAAGTGTTTGTTGTCGTGTCTTTGTATTTTTTTTTTTTTTTTTTTTTTTTTTTTT